ATTCCCAGATTCCCAGAATCCCGGGATTTCTCACCAGACTCTCCACCTCGTTCCTCAGCCACCGATGGTCCTCGAGCATCTCCCGCTGCTGTCTCTCCATGAGCCGCTCCACCCGCAGCCGCTCCAGCTCCAGCAGCCTCTGAGCCTCCTCCCGGCTCCGGGGACGCAGGAAATCCTCCTCCTGCATCCATGGAAAACAGGGATCAGCGACCGGAATTCCCGGCGGGATTGCGGGATCGCAGCAGCCGCGATTCCCGTCTCCGGGCTGGATTTGGGGAGCAGGGCGGGTTCCCAGAGGGAGAGGAGACCTCGGGATGCTCCCAGAAAAAGAGGGAGGAAAAAAGGAGGGGAAAAAAGGGGGGAAAAAGAGCAACACCGGGATCAACACCAGGATCAAGGTCGGGATCAACACATGGAGCTTTCAAGCAGCAGTAGGAAGCGGAGCAGGGAGGTTTCCTGGGAGGTTTCCTGGGATCGGGATGCCCTTGGGAAGGTGCGGGATGCCAGGAACGTGGGAAGCAGAGCAGGGAGGTTTCCCGGGATGGGGATGCCCTCGGGAAGGCCGGGAATGCGGGAAGCGGAGCAGGGAGGTTTCCCGGGATGGGGATACCCTCGGGAAGGCCGGGAACGCAGGAAGCAGAGCAGGGAGGTTTCGCGGGATCAGGACACCCTCGGGAAGGTGCGGGATGCCAGGAATGTGGGAAGCGGAGCAGGGAGGTTTCCTGGGATCAGGATGCCCTTGGGAAGGCTGGAAATGTGGGAAGAAGAGCAGGGAGGTTCCCAGGATCGGGATACCCTCGGGAATGCTGGGAATGCGGGAAGCGGAGCAGGGAGGTTTCCCGGGATCGGTATACCCTCTGGAATGCCGGGAATGCGGGAAGCGGAGCAGGGAGGTTTCCCGGGATGGGGATACCCTTGGGAATGCCGGGAATGCTGTTCTTACCCTCATGCTGCGGCGCTGGAAGGCTCCGGCGTGGTGTCGGTGCGGCGGCGGCGTGCGCAGGGACCCGGGAGGGAGCGGGACCTCGGCGGGGCTGGCCAGGGAGGGGGAGCTGGCACAGAGTCCCTCCGGAACCTTGGGAATGGAACAGGGAATGGCACAGGGAATGGCACAGGGAATGGCACAGGGAATGGCACAGAGGGTGGGGGAGCTGGCACACAGACCCTCCGGAACCTTGGGAATGGCACAGGGAATGGCACAGGGAATGGCACAGAGGGCGAGGGACTTGGCACACAGACCCTCGGGAACAGCGGGAATGGCACAGGGAATGGCACAGGGAATGGCACAGGGAATGGCACAGAGGGCGGGGGAGCTGGCACACAGACCCTCCGGAACCTTGGGAATGGAACAGGGAATGGCACAGAGGGCACGGCACAGGGAATGGCGAGGGCAGGGGAGCTGGCACACAGACCCTCCGGAACCTTGGGAATGGAACAGGGAATGGCACAGGGAATGGCACAGGGAATGGCACAGGGAATGGCACAGAGGGCGGGGGAGCTGGCACACAGACCCTCCGGAACCTTGGGAATGGAACAGGGAATGGCACAGGGAATGGCACAGGGAATGGCACAGAGGGCACGTCGGGGCTGGCACACAGACCCTCGGGAACCTTGGGAATGGAACAGGGAATAGCACAGGGAATGCAGGGCTGGCAAGGGCGGGGGAGCTGGCACAGAGTCCCTCGGGAACCTTGGGAACAGCAGGAATGGCACAGGGAATGGCACAGAGGGCA